ATCCACCAACACACTCGGCTTGACAATCCTGTTCTGTAAACCCGGACTTACATCCACTTTTGCAATGACCACTCACTTTATCACAGACTTCATTGTTGTCAAAGCATTTGCAAAACTTTCGACAACCGATTCCGAATTGTTCATTGGGACACTTGGTTTTGCAATGCGCGCCTGTGAAACCGCTTGCACATCCACTGAAACAAGTACCATTAACTTTATTACATACTTCCTTTTTGTTGAGACAGTTACACGATACGATACAGTTTGGGCCGAAATATCCATCAGAACATGTTTCTAAACAATCTTCACCAACGAAACCTAAAGCACATCCACTTCTACATCGTCCAGTGTCTTTTCTACAACTTTCTTTTGTATCAAAACAGTTACAAGTTTTATTACAGTTCTTGCCAAAGGTTCCAGAGGTACAAGGAACTTCACAGCTAGCACCATGAAAACCCTCTTTACATCCACTTAGACAGAACCCGAAAGTGCGGTCACACACTTCGGAGTCCAGAAAACAGTTACAAGTGTTCTTGCAACCGACACCGTATTTGCCGTCTTCGCACTTTGACTTACAATCTTTGCCAGTAAATCCCGGTTTGCAATCGCTGTCACATTCCCCGGTAAAAATACTACAAACCTCCTTTTCGTCCAAACAATTGCATTTATGTTTACAGTTTTCACCAAATGTTCCTCTTGAGCATAATCGATTACATGAATCTCCGGTCATTCCTGCTGGACAACCTGAAACACATTTCCCTGTAACGTGGTCGCACTTTTCTCTGTGGTCTAGGCAGTTACATGTCCTTGCACACGCCTTTCCATACTTTTTACCACCACAGATATTTCGGCAGTTGGCCCCCTGGAATCCATCGGGACATCCAGAGGCACAATTTCCAGTAATCTTGTCGCAGACTTCAGTCTTATTTCGACAGTTACAATCTTCTTCACAATTCGGACCAGTCTTGCCGTCTTGACAAACGATTTCACATCCTAGACCTGTACACCCACTGTGACAAAACCCAGTTGCTTTATCACAATCTTCATCTTGGTTGACACAGCTACAATTCTCACTGCAATCCTTACCAAACATTCCATCTGGACAACTATCCTGACAGCCAAATCCGTGGAATCCTGGGGCACATCCTTGAATACATTTACCATCGACTTTCTCACAGATCTCATAGTGGTCAAAACAGTTGCATGCTTTGGAACATTTATCGCCGAATCTTCCATCTGGACATGGTCGCTGGCAGTTCCTATCTCTGAAGCCAGGAAGACAATCTCCCGTACACTCTCCAACAACCTTGTCACATTTTCCTTTACAATTACAAACACCGATACAACCCACACCGAATGTTCCTTCTGTACATTCTTCGTAACAGTCAATACCTGTCCAGCCTGGCGAACAGCCGAATTGACACTGGCCGGTTATCTTATCACATACGTCCGAACCGTAGATACACCTACATGTTTTGTTACATTGAAAACCAAACGATTTCCCGGGACACAAGTCTAGGCAGCCATCACCAGTAAATCCCTGTGCACACCCAGATGGACAGCTACCAGTTACAAAATCACAGGTTTCATTTGCATTGAAGCAGTTACAGGTCGAGTTGCAGAGAGCCCCAAAAGTGCCGTCAGTACACTGATCTTGACATGCGGTACCCGAAAATCCAGGAGCACATTCAGTGGTGGGACACTCACCAGTATCTTTGTCACAAACTTCGCCATCTGTACAATGACACATCTTATCACAGTTGTCACCAAACCAACCATCAAAACATTCAAATACCTGAACTTCGCACATGTGAAGAAATCTAGTTTTGTCCTTTATTGGTGGCAAATAAACTGTCACATTGGATCCGTACAAAGGCTTCACACAGTGTATGTCCAAAATGTCCGGAGTATTTTCAGACTTTGTCCATTCAAAGCATAGACGCCCATCCACAAAGACTTTGAAAAAATTAAATCTTGTCCTGTCACTTGCGTCACTTCGATGATAAATTCGAACGTAATAAATCCTATGTTTCTGGTGTAAAACCACACTCCAGAATGCATCTCTCTTTTTGTTGGCACTTGTATGCTGACAACTGCCTTGTCTGTATACAGACTTTGTATTTCCATCAACTGCCTTAGCTGAGAATCCATTGCCGTATGTTCCACTTTGTAACGTTTCTTGATTTAATGCAAGGTTCAGTCGTTGACAAGTTGGGCCTGACCATGCTGGATCTTCGCAGCCATTGTTCAAGCAGTCGTAAGATCCTTCAGAACACCCATCTTTACATCTACAAATCAGTTCTGATAATGTAGAATTTAGACAGAAAGTCAGAAATCCAAAGAGAATAATCGTCTTCATTCTCATTTCAGTGTTTAAATCAATTTAAGTAATTTTTACAAGGCCATTGTCAACCGGAACAAATATCGACAAATCGTCTGCAACGCATTAAAAGCCTCTTAATTAAAGTAAACACTTCTCTTAGTTGGTCAAAAACGTTATCAACCACGCTAAATGACACCGTTTCCTATATTAAAATGGTTTAGCAAGGGTCAATTTCCTTTTAATACTTATGTGAAATAATTGGCCTTGAGTTAAAGGCGGTATTCAACGACAGACGTACAGGTCTTAATAACCTTTGTACAAGAGATAAGTACTCCATTATCTTAATCAAATCGACATGCTTTCCCAAAAAGTTTTCCCGATATGGTTTAAAACTAATAATCCAGATACAGGTAACTATTTTGGTCATATTTTGGACTATAATGGTGGCAATGATACATTTGTTTTGGTTCAGTTTCTTAATGACATAGTTTGATCAACTTTTAAAGAATTCTTCAATATCAGAACTGATTTGTAGATGTAACTCCTGCAATTCCACAAAAATAAGTGGTTGATAACGTCACTAGTCCCAAAACACGCTTTATCACTAATCCCAAAATATGCTTTATTACATAAAGTCCTTCACTATTAGTGCCGTTATCAAACACTTAGTTTAAGTGAAATTGTAGGAACCACAGACCTCTGATTGGAAATTGGAATGGTGCAAATTGATGCTATCAGTCTCCCCGATACATATAAAAAATTTAGAAAACCTTTTTACCATCCCTTTAAGACAACTAAAACAACAAACTAAGTATATTGAGAGTGACAATTTTTTTTGTATTCAACACTTCATTGTAACAGTACATTTATTATGACCTGATTATTTTAAGCCTTTACTTTCAAGGAATGCATCTTGTTTAGGATTTCTACCTAAGAAATTTCTCAACATTACTGTAGCATCCTGAAAAATAATGAAAATTTGTTGGTTTAAAAGGCATCGCCATTGCCTATTTGACTATTGAAACAGTTTCAAGATAATGTAAGCCTACTGTGGTTTTGTTACATAAAATTTTATCATTGTCATTTGACAACTGCTGGAAATGAAAGTTGTTCTAGAATGTTAGGTGCTTTAATAGAAAAAATTCTCCACAAGCATACATGTGTACAGGTCAGGAAAAAAAATTTGAAGATTTGCCTTGAAAAATCTGGAGATTGGGTGAAAAGTCGGGTGATCCAGAAAATGATTGGGTCGAAAAGATTTTTGGAAATTAGCCGTCCTTACCATAGATCCACCAGGTTTCAGAATGTAATTTCTGTAATCGGCACCAACTTCAGAACTCATGATACCTTCTTTACGGAACCGTGAATAGAACATATCCATACAAAATACTTCACTCCACTAAAATATATAACAAAATGTATTCTGGATTGAAAATCAAACATTCCAACATAGGGTTTTGCTTACTTGCTACTATAAATTAAAGAACTAGCAAATTGTGCAGATGAATTGCTTAAATTGTTAAATTTACGTAAGTTTTCAAAATGTGCACCATTTGCCAAGGGCCTTATGTGATAAAGCATATTTTGCAATAAATCAGTTTGTCTGACTGAAAATTGGAATGGTGTAAATTGATGCTATCAGTGTCCCTGATCAGTGTCAAACCACTTGAAAATCAAATTAAAAATCAAACTAACCATGTATCCATAATATTGAGCATCATAACCACCACCCATATGACCAAATGTAGCAGGCATGTTGGTATTAGGTGTAGCATCAATACCTAATATTTCTTTACATAGATCACTGTATACTGCTGCTGGATCAGCCTGAAATAAACAAGAACAATTTTAGTATATATTACTGGGTAAATAGAAAGAAAATCAAATTTATTTTGGCATTATTATTTTGAAGCTCAACATATAAGAGGCTTACTGTTCTGTCTGATATAGCACTTTTTCATAACTATGGTACATTATATTACTTACTTCTTTCAAATCAAATTATCTTGCAGTGGCTCAACTGATGATTAGGATTCTGTGGACTTAACAAGGTTGTGGCCCTTCCCCCGGAACATTTTCCTTTTAGCATATGATCTCCTGCATTCAGAGACCCCTCTGTAAGTCAATTTAATGCCTATCTGAATCTGCCACAGTAGTTAGAAGCTCTCACAGAGTTAAAGACACTGTGACTATGCTGCTCTCTACAGTAAAGGTTTTAGTAATTTTCATGACATAGGGCCTCATTTTAGTAATAAAAGATATATACACCCACCACGGCATGCGGATGGTAAATATTCAAGATTTTGGGGCAAGGGCAATAACTCAGCTTCTAACGGTCGAAAATAGCTCCAATTCGAACTTGATCATCTTTTTATGAATATGTATATGTCATAGTAGAAAACTGAATTTCATTTGATTCCATCAAAAAATCTAGTTTTTAGAGCGTTTACAAGCAAATGTTGACGGACGGATCGACCGACGGACCTTCATTTCATAAATATGTATGCACATACCGAATTTCATTTGATTCCTTCAAACTCTAGTTTTTAGAGTGTTTACAAGCACTTACTGTATAGAGGTTACAGGGCAATAACTCAACTCAAAACTGATGTAAGAGGCCTAAATCTTGAAAAAGCCTTAAATTTAATCAGAAGTAAACTAAACTTTCTCAAGCCTTTTGATTTAGGTCCAATAACATCCATTTTAAGTTTCATCAAAATCGGTTGAAAGAGTAATAGCATATTGAAGATTTTGGGGCAAGGACAAAAACTCTGCTTCTAACGGTCGAAAATAGCTCAAATTCGAACTTGATCTTCGTTTTATGAATGTGTATACACATACCGAATTTCATTTGATTCCATTACAAAATGATGACGGACGGACCGACGGACAGTGGTGTCGACAATATACGTCCACATAGAGAGATATGGGCGTATAAAAATGGCATAATATTGCCCCGGTAGAGCCAGCATAAGTCATGAAACATTTTATATTGTGTGTTAACTTTATAGATACATACTTTTTTTTGGTGTTGGGGCTATGTCAGTGAAGTTGTTACTAAATGTTTAGAGACCTTTTGTAATCCCCAAAGTTACTTGAAATGGAAGACTATCCTGTTTCCAATAAGGTCAATTACAATATGCATCAATAGACTACTCCAATCATTTAAATGCATAGTTTGTAGCATACAAACAACTAAGAAAATTTTATAGATCAATATACCTTTTACTTGCATAATCAAAGGTTGAAACCTCATCCAAAAGATAGCTTGCCAGGCAAGGTAATATATGCCCACTGGCAGCTGTCAGAAATGATTGAACACGAGTTGCACAATATAGCTAATAGAGTGAAACGTCAAGTCAGACACGATATTTCGGTGAAAAATTATCCGATCATCACGAAAATCAATAGGGATCATCTTCATAATGACATTGACACACAAAATCAAAAGAATCTGTAAATAATTGTAGCCTGTAGAGTGAGCACGAACCAAATATGAACGGACGGACAAGATGATTACAATATATGCCTATCTTATGTGTGGGCGTATAAAAATGATCTTAATGTATGCAAGGTTCCAATCTAAGAGATCTAGCTTGGAGGGCATGGCTTTAACATGGATTTTTGTGGAAGGAAAAGTTATTCCGATTGGCTAATTAGCTAATTACCTGAGATTGTGTATGAACTGTCTGATCAAAAGTACCAAGTAATATTTGCCTGAGATTAAAACAACCAGCATTAGCTATTCTACTAGCCATTAGTTTCTCTAACAATTCATCTGGTATATTACTACTATCTTTATAGTGGCCAGACATACGATTTAATGGTTCTTTCTCCCAGCACCAGTTCTCTAACATCTGAGATGGTGCTTCAACAAAATCTCTCTCTACAGCAGTACCACTGAAAATATCATTATTGCTTTTGACAAACTTAGAAAAAATGGCTACACTTTTCTCAAGACAAAAATATACATTGCAGTACTGAATCTATGCTATGCACTGGTTCAAAACTAATCAGATAAAGCTATGCACTGGTTCAGAACCTATGCATTGCTTCATAATCAATTGAATTGTGCACTGGTTTGGGTTGAAAATCAACTAATTTTCTCTTTGTATTTGCTCAAGATCAATTTCTGTTTTGCACTGGTTAAAGTTTAGTAAATAATGAATAAAACTTCAACCTGAATAATGCATATTCTGTTTCAGCACATATTTGATGCATAACATGACCAAATTCATGGAAATATGTTTCAACCTTAAAAAAAAAAAAAATATTAACTTAAAATTTTAACAAGGAACATTAAGTTTCTAAACATGAAGAACTTGTCTTGAAGTGTAGACATGACAGTAGGGATGCAGGCTGAAATAGATGTCTGAAGATTGCATAGCGTGAAACTCTTGAGTAACAACATGTTTCAGGTTCCGTTCCGATTCACATTTCAGACATCCATTTCAATCCAAATGTTCAACTAAAATGTCCCATATTTTCAAGAAATGTGTTTGTTTTTCAAATTTAGCTCAAAATGATTAAATGTGCTATTGTGCCAATGTAAAGCCATCTTACAATGTCATAATCTTACGAACTGTGTACTTATATCTTGACGGCAATAGCCACCTTTCTTTTATCATGGTTGTCACTGAAGTGATAGTATTGTATGCTAGCAAATATAGCCAATCAGAGGCCTCGCCAAAAGTCTGCAAACACAAATGCACAATGTGGATTCGCTGGTGTACAGTTCAATCAAATAGCTTCATTCTATGATACAAGAATGGTGATTATTGCAATCAAGGTATAAGTATGAAGTTTGTTATAGCTTGACATTGTGAAGATGTTTTTTTTAGTTGATATTCCAGCTATCAAATATATACCTCATCATGTGTAAGTAAAGATGGCTGATCATCTGTTGGTTTTGTGAAATTAGCTACCATAGCTGCTATAGCTATTTGTCTACTTCCATCAGGTAATAAACAACCAGGCTGAAATATGTCAATATCCATGTAAATATAAATGTTTCTATATCGGTCTATATCACATTCAACACTATTTCAACAGTGAAAATATTTCATTATTGTATCATTGTATCTATGTAATATGTAAATAGTCTTCAGAAGTACTAGAACTCCACCGAAATCGCAAAATCCTTTCAAATAAACTTCAAATAGAAATTCCACTTTTCATTTATATATACGGCTTATCACGAAAAGACGAGTCGTCATTTTAACTTTCAAATGCAAGAAATTCTATACACGCATGGATTTGAAAGAACAAATTTGGATGGTGAACTGTGAACACTATTACAGATTAGCTTAGCTAANATATTTCTGCTTCTGAGACTAAGGTAGGATTGGTCAGGGACAGATGCGCCAGTTTGGGGTTGGCAGGGTGATTTTAATCTTGAATATGATATGTTAATAGTCTTCAGAAGTACTAGAAATGTACAAAAATCACATAATTCCTTTAAAAATACTTCAAACTAAGAATTTTACTAACTTTTCCATGTCTTTATCATAGAGAATCTTAAATTGACGCGTCATCATTTTAACATTCAATGGCAGATAATTCTGGATACACGTGGATTTGAAGGCTAAAATTTTGAGCGTGAGCTTTTAACACTAAAACTGATTGGCTTAGCTAAAAAAATATCCTGTTTCTGAGACTAAAGTACAATTGGTCAAAACAAAATGGAGCAACTGTCCCTTTAAGTGCATTCAATATTATACCAGAGCATGTATAAAATTACATTTTATTGATAAGATCTTATGCTATAAGGAAGCCTTTAGAAGGGCTTAAACATAGTCAGTTAGAGCATTGGCATCTTGACTTCATTTGCTTGGCTCCACTGAACAAATAGTAGTTATTGGTTTAATCTCAGTCAGTAGTACAGTCAAGTAACCTAATTTCATGGAAACCTATTATTCGTGGATTTCTGGAAAGGATTAATAATTTACATGAGCAACCTTGCGCAACCTCCACATTAGTTTGTTTTGATAAACATGGGTTTTCTGTACAATATCAGCTAGTAGAATGAATCCAGTAGTTTCAAGCAAGGTAAAATGTATTAATGTATACTTTGACAAATACAAAATGGCGGATTTCAGTTATTACCAAACGTCACCATTTTTTATCGGCCGCATTTCCTTATAATCCCAAGCTGTAATCGGAATTCCAAGTGTCGTCTGCTATAATGTAGTCCAACGAATGAAGTCACATGATCAACTAGCGGATTCCGTGTCAGCAGAAAATTTCTATGGAACACAATGTGTTATGTTGTTTCAGTGACTTTTAGCAATAAATCATGCTACGTATCTTATTTTGTCAGTCACTATTTTTTTTTTAAATCATGGTTCTTTGAAGGAATAGTCACTAGTTATAATGAATTGATATTAAAGATAAATACTAAGAGAAGTTAATTATACCATCCGGTATCCATACAACGTGTTTTTCTAGACTTATAGATCAAACATTGTACACGAAAATAGGTTGGTTGCTCATGAAATATGGGTCAAAGTGAAGGATTCATAAAGAAAATTGAAATAAACCAATTTTAATTATTTTGTAGAATATCTGAGGAAACATCTAAGACATACAATTTTTTTTTCGTTTTTTTAACTTTGACGAAATTCGGTGTTGAATCCTTATATCCACGAAATAGTTTACACCACTGTATTCTTAAAAGCTATCTTTCCTAATAATTCCAGTTAACCCAGATGTAAATGGATACAGATAATCTGAGAAAGATCAATGCCAAGAGGTTTGGACAAAGATAATTTTGAACAGTTATCATCCGTGTAAGAAAACAGTTGTTTCTTTCAGTCATCCATCATACGAGAGAAATAAGTTATAATTCCTCAAAAATATATTGCAAACACAGTTGTCAGGAAAATTCATAACAAGAATACTTTAGACCACTCACATGGTCACATGAGTATGAGCTTTCAAACACATTCACCAAAATCAGAAATTCAATCAGTTATAAAGGGATACAGTTAAATTCTACAAACCTGGTATATATCTAGAAGTCCCTTAGTAACTGTTTCCATGGGGAAATATTCTTTCAGTTTATTTTGATCTACTGCATATTTCTTTTCCTCCACCATTGTCATATAATATCTAAAATCCCACATGTTGATTTTATTATCAAATTCATACCCATATTTCTCACACTACAAATAAAACCCAGTTTTAAATATTACACTTTTCTACTCCTGATTGGGTTAATAAAGAAGGGAATATTATCCAATGTGAAATTTTGCTTGAGAAATGACTATGGTCAAATCATATTTGCATTCTAATGACATGCCATGTATCCATGGCAACCCCTTCCTGCATTAAATTTTGGTGGAAAGCAAAGGGACTGAACCCGGAACCTTATGCTAGAGACCAAAAAATGTAACTCAGTCAGTCACCCATTTCAGACATTACTTAGACAGGTCCATTGAAAAACCAATTAGTTTAATAATTCATGATTATAAGCATGCAAGTCCATCAATAAAAGATTAATAATCAAAACATTTTTAGTGAGAAATCTTCTAAATACTAAATAAAAAATCATGTCCAAAATTTTGATTCCATGGGTTATTTGTATATCATAGAATTATAATAACATGATCAATCATTGCTATGATCTGTTATTATACTTTAGTTAAGGTAAGTGATGTACTGAAGGGAATATATGTTGGAAGAGAATACGTGGAAGAAAATATAACATTAACAAATAATTGATAATGAAATTTGATATTTGATAATCGAAATTATAAATTCTTAGCGATAATAATTGATTATTTAGATTATTTTACTCAGCCCTATTTTTTCTTCTTTGCTATACAAGTATACAATAAGATACAGGAAACCTCTATAATACCATTCAAAATGACCATTTTATTATCTTACCTCTTCTTTCTTGTATTCTAAGAATAATTTCATCTCTGCTTCCTTTAATGGTTGAAGTTTTTTAGCCAGCTCTTGTAAGAATGTTGCTACAGTATCTGGTGATTTAGCCATTCTCATATCTAATACAAAAGCTGCATGAGTTGGAAATCCAAGTAAAGCTGCCTTCTACCAATCAAAGAACAATAACACATAAACATTTTCACTGAATAACTCTCAGCCCTCTTCAAGTTTTTTTGGGGGGCTGATAATAAACCAATTTTTGTTTTGGCTGATCAATTTAAATTTCGCCTTATAAATACAGCAATAAATTTTTCTAGAATCTACTGAAAAAAGTAATCTTCAGAGGATTTGTATTTGATTGGCAGATTGGCATAAAAAATAATCTGTTGGTTTATCGCAAGAGAAGTCATTTTGACTCGCTTGAAGTGAACCATTCACAATAGAGGAAACGGAAAAGATCAGCCGAAAGTCAAGGGGATACAGACTCATATTTGGGGGTACAACAGGAGATTTTACCATTTCAAAAGGCTTAGGAAGTCATTTCCTACATATAGAGAAATGTTTTCATTTCTGAAACAAAATGTTTAGTGGACTTATTCCAGAAAAATAGAGGAATTGCTCTAAAAGAAGAAGTCTGGAATCTCTGATATTGTAATGTGAATTATCAGAAGGTAATAACAAGGTTCATACAGCACTTTGCCTCAAAAATTCAAAGACTTTTCAAGGACTCTGGGCTTTGAAATTCAAGGACTTTTCAAGGATATTAGTCTGACAGAATACACATGTACCTTACTTCTGAACTGTGAAATCCATAATGATAGTTAATATTTGTCAATGGGGTTAATGATAAAAATATACACAATTTGACTCAACTCAAAATTCAAGGACGTTTCAAGAGAAAATGGGGTTTTTATGGTGTTTTCAAAGACTTTTTTTGAAATCAAGGTTTTTCAAGGCAACGGACGGAATTCAAGGGTTTTTCAAGGCTGTGCGAACCCTGAATAATATTGTTTGGCATATTAAATAGCTACAGATCTTTTAATTCTACCAATATCTCACAAATTGTACAAATTCTAACTCTAATATCTTACTTCATGTCTAAGTTTGATTAATTCTTCTAATATTGGACCATTCTCCTTCATACATCTACAATAATCATTATAACAAATTTTAAACAAAGACTCATTTCAGAGTTAACTGATTTGGGGGTTCCGTTTTAGCAATTGTTCATACAGTTCTTTAGGGGAAAAATTCATCACAATCACAATGTCAAGATTTTAGTTTTTCCACCTTTTTCTAAAATTAATTCTGTTTTATTAACTGATTAGACAGCCAAATTACCTGCAATTTGGTTTGAATCTTGTATATTCTGTTTTGAGCATTTACCTGTACTGCACATCTAGTAAGACCAGTATTGTTGATAGTCTAGCATACATTTTGACATTTTTAGCTTAAAGTTCACATGATCTTGGTAGACCTATAAAACTTATTTGAAAATAAAAAAGTTTACCTGGAATTGAAGGCAGTTTCTAATTTCTTTCTTGTTTCAGGATTTCTGGCTTTTTTCATACAAGGAAAATAATGAGGATATTTTAAGGTCACTTTCAATTTACCATCTTCTGTCTGAAAATAGTTGTAAAGATTAAACATTATTTTAACATATCAGAAATTCGTTTAACTGCACTAATATATAAGGAACTGAATCATGCAGATAATGAAGCTCCACTGTAATCCATGTTGAAAGAGATAACCTAGTAGTTTGACACTGGGCAATAATTGACTAATGCCAAAAAATTTCCCTCACTTCACACAGATTGGAGTTGCCTATCTTCAATGACTCAAGTGATATTAGAAAGGAATTTATTTTTTTTCTTTTTTCTTTTCTTTATGTACCAATTTTTAACTTTGAAACATATTTACCTTGTCTAAGCCTTTGATGAAGTCTTCAGGTAACCCAACTGAAAAATACAAGAAAGTGGTATGACGATCTTCTTCTTGTAAAGCACTTATGAGGTAATATAGACATACAGATGTATATAGATATTAAATAACTTATTATTCTAGTTGCGGGCAATAACAACTTGGGTGGAGCTTGATTGGTAAGTTCTGTTTAGGTTGTGTCTGTTCCAATTCAGGCCTCAATGGAACAGTACAGAACCACATTATGTCCCCTTTAAAAGTTCTCCATAAGTTCCTTTCTCCGCCATTTTGAATTCTGTCTGCACCTACTATTTTTTCTACACATGTGGAACTCATTCTGAACTCTGTTCCAACTTGTTTTATTGAACATTCTGTTGATTCTACAATGTGAAGAACTCACTGATCAAGCATCCCCACAAATATCAATTTAAGAATACCTAATTCGTCTGATGTAAATTCTAGAACACTCTTTTCTTCATTCAGATTTTTACCAAAATCAATTGACAGATCACTCATCCTTTTCTTTTGAGCTTTGATTTTCTCTTGGGTAACTTTTGTTAAATGTAAACCTAAAAATAACAATATTCTATTCATATAAAATAGGGGCTTAATCTAGTTTCTAGGAATTCAAAATCCAATTTGCAAACTGAACTACTTTGATACTAACAAAACGAAAGTAGCAGGGTTTGGTGGATTCAATGAAAATGAATTTGGTTAAGAGAACTCACACCTATGGAGGTGTGGAAAATCCCCTTGAAACAGGGTCTAGTTTTTCTGACTCTACTCTAGCCAACAACTTTCCTTACAGCTATCAGAGGCAGGAATTGAGGTAGATGTTTCGGACTATCTCTAGAGTACTGAACACTTAGTCTGTATCCAAATGATGTTTCCAATCCATAGTTTAGATTCAAAACATATGTGAACTATTATGTTATAATATTCTGCTCTCTATTGGATAAAATGAAGAATGCTATGAAGTACACAATAAAGGAAATTTTGCAAACAGCTTTCTTTGTTAATTTCCAAGCAATTCCTATTTCTTACCATTTCTCTTGCCAAGTTTGATTTGTCTCTCAACATATCTTCTAGTTTCATCAGACCGATCACCAGGGAATTTCTTTTGGTATGTTAACAGTGCATCAAATACATCTTGTCTCATACTGAAATAGTTTTAATTCTTAATCTTTAAACAAATAAGCTATGTAAACATTTTATAAGGATAAAGATATGACAAGCAAACATCATGGTACAATTTCAAGAATTACTGACATTTTTTAAAAGTAATTTGTAAGTTATAGAGCTGTTGGCAGTTAATCTCACAGGTGAATCCAAAATCTGATTTTTTTTCTTTTGCCTTCATCATCCAATTTATGGAGTCGCTTTTAAAAGAAATGATCAAATTGGATCCACGTATTTGCTGGAAATGAAGACTTATATAATATTAGATATTCTTACAATCTTAAGAAGAAGAATTCTGATCTTCATACATGATGTAATAATAAAGTGATAAAACACTGAGCAAAAATCACTTAAAAAAATACCTCATCTCCACATCAAATTCCGATAACACTTTATCAGCGGCATTACTGGCATCTCTTAATGTTTTATCAGGACATACATGTTGAAGGAAATCAACATTATTTCTCTTTACAGCATACCAACAATCATTATCAGCTAATTGCTGAAATTCAATAGAAAGATAGCTTCAACATACTCTTTCATACAAATAAAAATCCTTTTGCAATCATCAGGACATAAAACAAAAAGCTCTTTTTGCGATCAAACTTTTCTGGTTTTCTTATTTAGCTCGTTGATCCTTATGATAGTGATAGGCCTACCGTCTTTTTTTGATACACTTGATAATTTTTAGTTTTCATAAATCTCTATTCTAAACTAAGGTCCTGGTATAAATGACCTATAAAACATAGTCCGAGAACAAAGTAGAAGGCAGCATAATATTATTAGTTGATGATGTTTACCTTGACAACATTATTAAAATTGATGTCTTCAGGTTTCAGGCCACCAATTTTATCATAGATCTTTTTTGTTTTAACTACCAATTCTGTTGACTCTTTTTCAATATCATCAGTTTTTATTTTCCAAGTCAATTTATTGCCAGCAATGGCCATTTTTGCTATTTCAGAATAATTGACAGGACTTATTCTAGATCTACTGAAAGGTCTGAAACTGATAAAATGCTGACAGTGAAAGGATGCTGGGACACAGTCTATAAATTTGCCAGAAATCACATTAGTTTTCAATGAAAATCTAAATATTTGATTATTTAGGGATCTGTGGAAAATACTTATCAAACTACGATTAAGTTTTGTAAGAAATGACATGAAACAGATGTAAAGATCTTAGAATTCCAAGAATTCAGTTTAGTTCAGTGCCGGTACAAAGAAAAATTCATTGATCATCAACTTCCGGTGAAAGTAAAACAAGTTATCTGCTCGTGGATTAAGACCACTCCTTGTTCATTGCCAATGATCAAGAGACGTTTCGTACAAATCTTTATGTAATAACGTTTAATAGTTTACTTGCAGACCGTTATGAACGTTTATGTAGTCAAAATAAGAGAGAATATATAAACGAGCGGTTGCCAAAGGGGCTACAGAATAGAAATAGTCAGTCCCGTAAACGTTACATGTTCGATTCTAAGCCAAAGTATTAAAAGTTTTTACGCCATGTGGTATTGATCGAAAGAAAATTTATATTTGGTGTTATTTATATGTCGAAATTTTAAAGGATTAATCTAATCTTTTGGTTTTTGAGGGGCATGGACCCTCCAGAAACGACACTGACCCGGCTTTGTCCCGGTCCTCGTATGCCATGTGAAATACTTTTGTTAATCAGATTAAAATTAATAGTTGTGAACTTTACATAATAATAATTTGGTATAACATGGAATGTACAGATAAGGCACATTAAAGTCGTTCCTTAACAGAAATGTCATTTTATTGGTGTCAAAATGTGTTAAAACAGATATATATACATGTAATACAAGTTATATAAAAAAAAATACAAATAATCTAAATGTTTATTTTTATGTAAGGATTACAATTGTCGACATTATAAATATCAATGTCTGACTCTCTCTCTCTCTCTCTCTCTCTCTCTCTCTCTCTCTCTATATATATATATATATAATGCTTGCGGAAAGCTATAAACGTATCAGATTTGTTATTGCATATATTAACAACGGACTGTTTCCTGCTTTTTTTTTTTCATTTATTGACATTTAAAGGTGAAGGATATAGCGGTCCAAAAAAGGCTGTCATATGCGATACGTTCTGGTGCAGCCCTACTTCTCAAGTTGACTCTTATGTTTTCTCTCAAAGTTATGAAAAACATAATAACAACATTTTGTATACACGAACTAAGGACGCTCTTTTTAAGCCAATGGGGAAGAGTAAATGAACTGAACCAAGCAGTGGTGCTATGACGTTGTATACAAGCTAAAAATGTACCCTAAATGAGACAAATCGTACATAAAACAGCTTTTCATAATAAAACTGGATGAACTTTGAACCTACCTTGACATTTGCCATTAATAATTGAAGTATGATATCATCTCCAGGTGACATGAGAATACATCACAGTTACATGGCGTTCTTTAGAGTCATGTCCAGATATTTTGTGTCTTCAAGTAATAAGTCCATTGTAATATAAATCAGATATATAAACGCCTAAACATTTGCCTCATATCCAAATGGTAGAGCTCAAATGAAAGGGCCAGGTGCTTAAATATGTAAATAGTCTTCAGAACTACTAAAACTGTACGAAAATTGCTCAATTCCTTCAGATAGAACTCAAAAGAGAAATTTAAGTTTTTATTCATTTCGTTTTTAAGCTACAGATATCCAAAATAAAAAGTCTCTTAAAATGACGACTCGTTAAAATAACTATAGATACACGTAATTAAATTTAAAGATTTGTTTAAAAAAAAAGAAAAAAATATTATAGATTATGCTCTTATTTCCCGTTGCTTCTGTGCCAGGTCTACTCGATACATCTTGTGACCATATAATAAAAAATGCAAAATTTCCAAAAAAACAAAGATAGGCTATAAAAAGTGAAAAAAGCAGTAAATATTCCTAAGGCAATGACCTACTTGTCACCATTTAGTTGTATCTATGAAAGTAGTCTTAAATATTAACTTTTGATATATTTTCTTTTATACCTCCCTTTGTCATTTTTAAATTCTCTGAATTGCCCGAATCAGAAAAAAAACATTACCTAAGCGAAATTATTATAATCAATTGATATGCTTTACTTATTAATTAGTATATTATCAAAATAAACATTTTCATCGCTATCCAAAGCTTTTTTGTCTCGTAGAATTAAACATTCTGAAAACGGGGCTCTTACAAAAAAAGAAGTATATAATGCTATATCTTCTGACCATGAGTTGATTTTGGTAGACTTTTTTTCCCTGAAAGCTTACTTAGTATCAAACAACATAAAAGATAAATTAATACTGTTGCAATTATCTTGAGGTTGGCCGATTATTTTGACCAAAATGACTAGACATATGCCAAGTCCGGAATTTGGAAGAAAGTCGATAGCCGTGGATAAAGATAGTCTGTTGTGTAAATTAGTTGGTTATTTGCTCTGTAAAGATAATTCCAAGAGTCATCTTCATTGTTTCAACTAAATACTCTAGTGTGGTCTCCGGCAAAGACTGTTGAAGCTGTTTTTCCTTAAAGGTGCAGGGTTCAAGTATTTTCATTTATGGAGATAGCTTGCCAGGCAAGGTAATATACGCCCACTGGCAGCTTTGATTTTGAATAAAAATATTTAGCAGTACAGTTACAATCACCAGTATGAAATATTCTTTAGGGCGATACTGAATAATATTTAGTATGAGTTGTTCTTGAAAACTCGTGAAAACTTTAAATGGCAAATATTCAATCTTCAGCGCGGGACTGAATAATAAAACCAAGTTTTGTCAAAATCCAGCAAGAATCATGCCTTTTAGTGTTAAAGAGCTAAATTTGAAACGTTTTCAATAACAAGGGCAATAACTCATACTAAATACTTTTCAATTCTTTTGATTTTGAATAGGGTTCATCCTTGGGTGAAAATTCACACCAAGTTTCATCAAATCCGTCAAGAATTGTGCCTTCTAGAGGGATTACGAATTAAAATTGAACGCGTTTCAAGAGCGAGGGCAATAATTCATACTAAATATTTTTCGATTTTTCTGATTTTCCATAGGGTTTATCCTTGGGTGATAACAAACACTCATGCCAAGTTTCGTCAAAATCCGTCAAAAATATTGTCCCTTCTATAGAGTGTTTACGAGGTAAAAATTGAATGCGTTTTCAAGAACAAGGGCAGTAACTCATACTAAATATTTTTCGATTCTTCTGATTTTAAATAGGGTTCATCCTTGGGTGATTACGAACAATCATGTCAGGTTTCGATAAAATCCATCAAGAAATGTACCTTCTAGAGTGTTTACGAGCTAAAAATTGAACATGTTTTCAAGAACAAGGGCAATAACTTATACCAAATATTTTTCGATTCTTCTGATTTTCAATAGGGTTCATGCTTGGGTGATTACGAATACTCATACAAAGTTTTGCCAAAATCCGCCAAGAATTGTGTCTTGTAGAGTGTTTACGAGCAATTGTGGACGGACGGACGGACGGACGGGCGGACGTACGGAATGCTAGCACGGACCGACGGACGGCATTTCATGTGGGCGTATAAAAATGAAATACTAATACTTATATGAATAGCAAGTAAAGGTGTTCTAATGACTTGGAAAAATACCTGTGTGCCTTGCATGACCTCAATTAATTGATAATTAGATATATTAGAAGATAATTACAAACAGAATTCCAATGAGTAACCGATCGAGAAAGGACAAAAAGTCATTTTCTGTTTATCCAGACTGTATATGCATGGACATTTATGATCGGTTAAAACTCTTAATCATATGCAATAAGAGCATAATGATATGATTAAGAATACGTGATAATTTATTCGATACACCAATAAATCAAATAGTTTGCTTAATTTGACACCAAAAAATAAGGAAACCCATCTTTAATAGGTAAATATCTTTTGCACATTCTGCTTGTTAGCAGATGTCGTATATGCTTTGGATTTTGGGCAGTGTTGATTTACTAACCCATACAGCAATCTGCTGCAGAGAGCTCACGGTAGACTGGTCGATTCGGACCACACATAACAGTCATTTTGCTAAGCCAGGGCCGTAACAACAAGGCAAGTAAGGCAGCAAATACCTCAAGCCAAATTTGCTGGTTTAAAAATTTAAATAAAAATATAAAATCCGCTAAATATATCGCTTATTTGATGGTTATTTGATAAGGTGGTTAAGTCCAGCGAAAGCGTTGCTATGAATAGAATTAGAAAGACCTATGACTGAAAACAAAAACATCAGATTTGCCTCAAAGAAAAAGGTCTTAGATCTGTAAGCATACTCTGTTATAACTCTAACAAAGTATGCTTACAGATCTAAGATTTTTTTTCTTACGATGTTACCAAATCCAAAGTGTAGATACATGCCATAAGATATCATATCTATTATTGAACATTATGGAAAAGGGTTAAAGGGTAATTTAAAGATACACTTTAACTTTATTTAAAAATAACAAAATAGGTATGAACGAGTATATATATATTAAAGATAGGAAAAAATCAACGGCATCCCAGCTGCTGTTTTTAAAACACACAAAATTTATTGTTTTGGGACTATAGATATATATATATATATTGAACAATACAATAACAAAATATATTCACTCTAAAAATAGTTCCATAACACAAGACAAGACATGATTAAATAATCTACATGAAAATGACTAACATCACGATGAAGCTTATTAAAGGGATTCCACTAAAAATAATTTGATGCAGCATTATATTGCGGTTAGTGACGTCATTAAACTCTTAGTTCTACAAGAATTGCAGGAACCACAGACCACAGATTGAAAATTGAAATGGTGCAAAATGATCAGTGTCCCCGATACATATATAAAAAAATTAGAAAACCTCTTTACAATCCCTTAAAGAATAGTGACAAGAATGATAAAACAAAATGTCTTCACAATTTAAAAATCATAATGTTGTTGAACACTGGAAAAGTTCCTACAATTTGTCACATACCCCCGTGGCGGCGCCAGTGGGGGGGCAGGGGGGGACTTGAAAAGTGGTCTGTAGGCTACCCCACAAATCTAAATTGGAGCGTCCCGGCTCCTCTTTGCAGAAGGGCATTATATAGGCATGGTGGGGCATTGCCCTTCAACGGCAAAATGTTTTTCAGGGCTGGAATGAAAATAATTTCTATACATCTTTTTTGGAATTTTGACAATTAATCGGGCAATTATGACTTAACTAAAGTTGTACCATCCCATTTCGGAAAAAATCCCAACAGAAACCTTGACAATTGATTTAAAATGGGAGAAAGCCTTAGAATTCTCTGAATTTTTTTGTGAATAATCAGGAAACATGTTATTACCTTATTGTCAAGTTTCACATCGATCGCTTAACGAGAAAGTGAGACAGTTCACAATGATTCAACGGAGGCCGCCATTTTCTATCACTATCCTTTACTCTATATGTTACGAGATTGCTGATTGGTTAAATTGAATGGCGACGTATTAAATAGTCAGCAAAAGGGGGTTATAAATCTCATGACCAGAATATGACACAGTGAAAGCAACGGTAGAAGTGATAAACGTCGTAGCCTAGGCCTACGCCGTCGCTATAGGAACATGAGGGATTTGTAAAATTTTGTAAAAAGTCGATTTCCTTGCCGATTCATGCTCTTTGGATTGTTAAATGAGTTTAAAAAAACGCTATGTGTACGTTAGTTTTGTAAGATTGGAAATGTAACTACGATAACTTTAACTCGCAAAATTCTCCATTATAACCCCATGGGCAATTACATACATCAGCTTCATCTAACAGTAAACATCGTCCATTATTTTGGCAAACCTTCTCACACTTATCCTGACAAAATGTACCAGTATATGGATAAACACACTGGCATCGAACACCTCGTTGGAATCGAATACAGGAACCACCATTTTGACAGACAAAATTCAGTGCGCACAGTGACGAAGGGAGACTAATGCTTGAATTAACACTGTTTCTCCCTCTTGCAATACTATCTATACCTAAAAGATATAAAAGAAAACCTATTAATACGTGTATTGATTTAAAATGGTGGGTATAGAAGATTATGACGACACGTATAATTATGTTGTGTTGAAACGTTATCTACCTTATTAAAGAAGTGTGTTATATTCCATAATATTGTCTAGTGCTCCTCGCTTCTATATGTCTTATAGCCTACAGAAGATATCATGAGCAGTCTACATTACAGTATTAACAAATAGTCAGTTCTCTGGCGTTAAAAGACGAATTAAGCATCATCTGAAATTGGAATTATCATGGTTGATGTTGATGATGTTCTGAACTAAACTAGACAATTTAATCAATCGAAATTTACAGAATTAATATGCTCTTTGGTGGATCACAGTCGCGTAAAATAAAACATCCCCCCGCAACACCGCTCGTCAATGAAATCTCGGCTTCGCCACTGGTGAATCATCAGCCAAATTAACATTATAGGGCCTAATTGGACAGTTACTGATCATTAATAACCAATTTTAAATTCATTAATTCTAAATAATTGGATTTAATTTCGACTTAATGAAAGCTATTACATTATTAGTAAAGGAATACATGTACGAAAACTTATCGCAAATATTGTTATTGTTACTCGTCAAGGTTGAGATTCAAAATTCTCTGTGGAAAAGCCATATAGGCGTAAGCCTCCCAGAGGGTTCTCCTCTAAAAAAATTGTGAAAGAAAGAATTGGTGCATTTTGGCACACAATTTTGTGCAATAACTTATGAAGAAACGATATTGTTAGAATCAATATAGAGATTTTTTCTATGGAGTCAAATATTCAATATTATTTTCATTCCCATATGATGTAATAAAATCGTTAAAATTACTTGGCTGAGCAAAAACTATTGTAGTTTATAATTGAATGGGAATTTTTTTCAATATACAGATATAAAAAAATGTGGAAATTAGTAGGCTGAAGGCTTGAATAAAAAAAATTAAGAAATATTGCAAACTTGACAAATACGTACCTAAAATACTATTCAGATTGACATTGTTGCAATCTACACCACTAAAACCTTTTTCACATTTACAAACTTGTTGACTCCCATCAAAAACACAAGATCCGTGTTTACAGGTCGGATTACAATCAGATCTATTACAATATTTTCCTGCAAATCCTTCATTACACTTGCACTTTACAATATACGAAGATTTACCATCTGTAGTACAATGTCCGTTTCTGCAAGAATTTTGACAGAAATCCATCAAAACGTTAGATAAATTTCCAAATTTTCGTGGAAATGCTGAAAATTGTGGAAAAACAACAAACAACATGATCACTAAACATTGAAATGTAGGTTGATAAACGTACATTTTTGTCATTTTGTGACAAATTGTCGAAAATTAATAAAATACTTCTAACTTTAAAACAAATGCATGTAGACTGTACTCTGTTTATATATACGCGTTCTGTGGTACTAAAATCTACAAGTCCATAAAGGCATATTATATAAATCAAATGGTACTCCCACTTTACAGAAGCTATCAAAAAAAATTCATAAATGACTCATAAATGCCACTGTCAACGGTTGTTCACGTTTCCGGGTTTAGTTTCTACCAGTACATATACTCATATTTAATGACGTTGAGGTCTAAATGTTAATCCATCAGGATATATTAAATGCGGTTAGACACCTGCGGTCGTGTAAATATATATATTTACAGACTATCAAACAACCGTTCTATTTTCAAGAAAAAGGAAAACCAAGTCATTTTGATAGTAAAATTTATTGACATACGGCGTAGTCAGTTATGGTCAGTGATCAGTACGATCATGTTTTTCGTATGATTAATTACAGTGTTGTTTTTCTGAAACAATGCGGACATGCTTTTTATCTTATTTATGGCTACATGGCTAAACGTTTATTGGCTATTCGTCATGATTTGGTCCATTCCTTAATTTTTTGTTCATATCAATCTATCCTTTGAAGAATACAAGATACAGAAATTAAGAAAAAAAAATGAATAAATGTTGGTGATCTATACGCGCATTATTCAAATGGCCCGATCAAAACAAATGATTTTTCGATGGACAAATTTGAGGTTATTTCCCCCACGTTTATCGAAAAGCATTTCAAACTTGTTAAGAAGATATTTTCAACGATGAGTTTTGTGCGTTATATATCCCTCGCTTCTACAAAATATCATTAACCGGTTGACGTATGGATTTACCTATACGTAGTTATTGGACAAAATTCACCTTGAAAAGTTTGTACGGAGGACCACTACCGATATTAAACATCCGCTATACTGGGTTGTGACTATATATAACGCACAAAACGCCTATTTTTTTAAATTAGTCTCCCGCCTATAAATCTCTCATATTCTCACAAAATTTAAAACTTCAGACTTCAAAGTACTAATCTAGACTAAAAAAACTAGTCATCTAGAGGCATGCAAAAAGCCTAAAAGGGGCAGAGAAAGAGTATTTTTAATAAAAAATAGCACGGACTAGTCATTTGCATAAAATATTTTAAGGAGTTGTAAAGAGGTTTTTTTTTAATAAATATAGCTTGTACCGAAGACACTGATAGCATCGTTTTGCACCATTCCAATTTTCAATCAAACGTCTGTGGTTCCTGCAATTCCACTAAAAACTAAATATTTGATGACGTCACTAATCGAGAAAGGACTCATGTGTTAAAGCATAATATTTTGCGATAAGTGACGTCATCAATTGGTGCAAATTGATGCTATCAGTCTCCCCGATACACCTATTTTTTTTTTTTTTTTTTTTTTAAAAAAAACTTTTTACAATCCCTTTATGTCATGTGTGTCCATGTTCTAATCAAATGTTTCTTAGTACGGTTATGGTCAAATTAACATCTCGGACGAGTTTAAGTGTGACTATTTGCGTTCAACCTTTTTTGATCCATATTGAACTGAACCAAAGTGCGTTACAAAGGACAAGCTTATATGATAGATGCTACTTTTTTGGTCACCTTTCAGGAAAACGTCGAACTGATGCGGATACCAAGCTCTCATCTTTTAAATTGGACCCGCCTATAAGTTATGCGGGAAATGACGTCTGTTTTCAGAAAAAAAGATTTAACTGTCCTTATTGTTCGCTTCTAGTATTGTGTCCTGGTAAACCGAAACATCTGTCGCTATTCCAGCCTCTAATAGATATTTGGATAGAAGTCAGCTGTACTAAAGCTGGAATAGATGTAGATGTTTCGGACTAGTGTAGTGGGTGAATTGTTAGGATAGGTTTGGTCAGTTGACAAAAAACAATAAATTGTCAAATATTTGTTTACACTATAGGCCTATATAGATAGACGTAATAAGACAATTTTTTTTAGCTCTCAAATTATAATTCAGCAAAATTTATCATATTAAAGTTTCATACCCTTTACACATAATGGCGATCTTCATATGATATAAATGTCAAATAAATGAAAGATACTAAAAATTGTTAGTGGTTGCAGATGACTTTTAGAGGTGGTACATAAGAGGCTTCAGGTGGATGATTACCAAAAACATACACAAGCACTGCCAATGCAGTAGAATGAAGTTCTACAGTCACCCAGTTAAGAATTTCGTTTATCTCAAATTTGTAAGTTAATCTGGGAGATCTGACTGCAGATGGTCGTTGATAATTTAACACTTGTACGACGGACGATATGATAATCAAGTTTGGAGATATCGGGAAGGAACAAAAATCGACTGAAAAATTGCAAAGAAACGGGAATTTCTGGTTAAGGCAGACTCTAACTTTTTTATTTATATCTTTAATATCCCCTGTATTTATAACAAGAGCCGCTGTCTTGGCAAATTTTCCTCATTGCACCCTGCATGGCGTTGCCTGCCTTCATTAGCTCACGCGGTGCAGGAAAGTAAGACGTAAAACTCCATTAATTTCATATATTTATTTCTAACAATATGTGTATAATGCTCTGTAGCTGCAAATAGAAGCGAAAAATGTTAGTTTATATTAGCTTTTAAACAAGGCTACAGAATTAAATACACTCGAAATTTGTTTGTCGATACCATGAGCTTGTTGTTGACTAGTTGATTTTAAATAAGACTAAGAAGACCTAGGTTATGGAGAATTTTTTTTGACCAATCATACTTTAGCATCAGAAACGAGCATTTTTTTTTTTTTTAGCCAAGCCCATCATTAATAGTGTCCAGAACTTCAAAATTTGAGCCTTCAAATCCATGTGTGTCTAGAGTTATCCGCGTTTGAAGGATAAAAAGACAAGTCAACTTTTTGGGACACTGCCATATACAAGAAAGGCATCTATAGATATGGGGGTATTTTTTTTGAAAGAATTATGCGATTTTCGTACATTTCTAGTACTTTTGAATAATATTTACACCTGTTCGTTGAAACACTGAATGTATGACAACTGTGGAATCCTAAACACAAATTTCAAAGTATTTATATATACAACATTTTTTGATATTCTGTCTGCCAATCTCTTGTTTTGATATTAAATTTATAATAAAAAGTATTTGTTTTGTTACGCAAAGGTATTAATTTTATCCAATGTAATATTATGTTACGAATCGTCTCAATAACCCGCGTTCAAGTATCCGGAAATACGTGCGTCCAACACTACATTTGAACTAGAGATAGCGTGCAGGAATATTTTTTTCCTCGTTCTATTGATAATACAATTAAAATGTCGGACAGAATTGATACCAAAGTGATTCAAGTGACGAACGTGGCTCCTCATGCTAGTCGGGATCAAATGAAAACGCTTTTTGGTTTCGTGGGGCGAGTGAGAGACATAAAATTGTATCCTCCGGAATCGTCAGAAGTTGAAGTTTCAGCACGAGTGTGCTACATCGAATTTGATGACAACACAGCAGTGGGAATTGCCTTACATTTATCAAATGTTGTGTTCATTGATAGAGCTATCATCGTTGTCCCTGTTATGGACGGCAAAATTCCAGATGAAAATACTGCTTTACAGCTGACCCCACAAGCAGTAGCAGGCATGTTACCTGGTGCCCCTACTTGGCCAAGTAATGTTGTATCTCGCAAAGTTGGCCAAGGCGCTAAACAGATGATTAATACCTATGATCCCAGATTAGTGGCTCTGGGCCTTCCACAATATCCGCCACTACCAGCGTCTGTTGATCCCAGTAAAATACAGGAAATTAGGAGAACAGTTTATGTTGGAAATTTAGAAACAGCAGTATTGCCAGAGCAGTTATTGAGTTTTTTTTCTCAAGTTGGTGAAGTTAAATACATTAGAATGGCAGGTGGAGAGCATGCTCTGGTTCGATATGCTTACGTTGAGTTTTCTGATCAAAGAGCTGTTGCAACAGCATTAACATATAACGGTGTTATGTTTCAAGGAAGACCAATTCAAGTTTCACATTCAATTGCTGCTATAGTTAAACCACAATCCAAGTCGGCGAAAGATTCACAAAGGGAAGTTGAAGAAGCAATGAAAAAAGTAAAAGAAGCCCATTCTCTAATAGCGGCAGCAGCAGATTCAAGAAGAAGTCGTTCTTCATCCAGAACCAGATCTAGACGAAGGTCAAGGTCCAGATCTCGTAGACGAAGTCATTCCAGATCTAGGAGAAGGTCTCATTCTAGGTCAAGAAGATCTCGGTCAAGAGATCGCAGACGCTCAAGAGATAGACCTGGATCTTCAAGATCAAGAAAGAGGTCTGGATCCCGATCGAGAAAGAGATCTAGCAGATCCAGATCCAGATCTAGAAGGAATAGATCAGGATCCCGGTCAAAGCACTACAGGTCAAGTAGGAGATCCAGGAGCAGAGACAAAAAACGATCACGTTCTAAATCTCGTTCAAAACGTTCTAAATCGAGAGACCGTAAAAGATCAAGAACACCTCCCAAGGCGTTTACTTCTAAATCACGCAAATCTAGATCAACCTCCAGAGGTAGAAAGAAGAGTGTATCACCAATCAAGGAAAAAAGAAGAAAATCCACCTCTGCATCACCTTCTCCCCCTAAATTAACTAAAGAGAGGTCAGTCTCTCCGCAAGCAGCCTCAAATGCAGATATACCTATTCCTCAATTAAAGAGGTCATCTTTGAGTCGTAGCCCTTCGCCAAATGCTGGAAAGAGTAGTCCTAAAAGAAGATCAAAGTCTCCAAAGAAGTCTAAGAAAAGTAGAAGATCGAGTCGTTCAAGATCTAGAAGTGGATCACGGCACAGAAGTAAGAAAGAAAAGAAAAAGGATAGAGACAGGAGTAGAAGTAGGGATAGAAGTAAAAAGAAGAGGTCTGAGAAAGACCGAGACCGGGAAGAGAAATCATCTAAAGATTCTAAAGTAGTTCGAGATTATGATGAAGAAGAGAAAGGATACAGTAGCAGTGGTGAAGGTGTAAGAGGCCTGTCTGATATTCCTCCTCCTCCTGTACAACCCATTAGTCAATATCCTATTGATGAGGATAATAAGCAGGAAGTAGATATGGAAATGAGTGATGGTGATTAAACAATGAGTGGATTGCCCTTATTGATATCTTTATTGTTACTTGAGACTAATGTAATTGTGCTTTTAGGTGGTTTTCAGTTTTGTATGATCTAAGTTCATGGACCTCTTCAATTTACTGTTATTAGCTGATAAAAATATGTACAAATTTTTTTTTACTTGAAATTAAAAGAAGTCTGATTTGAATACAGATTCTTTCTGTAAAATAAAATGTGGTAAAATATTTGACTGTTTGTGTTATGTCTGTTTTCCTTGTAATAATACAGGATATAGGTATTTAAAAATAGGTTCCCTTATTTTCATTTATGAAAATGTTTATATGAATAGAAAGTTGAGGTGTTCTAATGACTTACAAAAACTAGTTTGTCTCAGCTAAATTAGAAGAGTATTACCAACAGAATTTTTATTAGTGATCGATCAAGAAAGGTCAAAAAGTTTTTTTTATTGTTTATCCAGACGGTAATACATGGATATTTTATGATTGGTTAAAACTCTTAATCATATGCATGCGATAAGAACATAATTATATGATTAAGAATACATGTACATGGTAATTCATTAGATACACCAATTAATCAAATAGTTTGCTTAATTTGACACTAAAAAATAAGGAAACCCATATTTAAAAGAACAATACAAAACTTGTTATGCATATATTTATGTATATAATATATATATAAAATGGTGAGTTTATGATTTTTTCAATATAACGGATAGAGCCAGGTTCTCCGGGGATTCAAAAAATTGCCGTCGCCCCACATTTCTGGAGCTCAATAGAAACTACAGTTTTCATCTGATTTCAATGAAATTTGATCTTATAACGCTCAGGGTAGACGAGGTACGGTGAAGGATGTTCACTACAGTTAAATATAGAAGAAGTGGATACACAGGTACGGGTGCAGTATTTTCTACTGTATCGATTATCCTGCACCGTAAATCGCAGCTAAAATTTGCTTCACTCGAAGATAATGAAACCTAAGTGTGATTATTGGAAGTGATAAAATCTTGAACATTTGGGGGTTATTGCCCTTCACCCTAAAGTGCCAAACACCTTGACTTGATTAAAAGGGGTCAAAATCTACCTGCGAATACAGTAAAAGAGTTTTCAATTGATTGTGATAAGAATTTGTATTGTTTAGTCTGAAAAATCTGACTCTTCCTGTCTAGAAATTAGTTTTCGTTTTGTTAATATTTCGACTTGACCCGGTGTGACCCTTCAACTTTTGGTTGCGGACGCAGTCATATTTGGCCGACGAGAGATTAGATTCATTAAAAATAGGTGTGACATAAATGGTTTAGGGGGTGTTATGGCCGAACTGCAAAAAATGGTTTGAAACCCCACTTCGGAGATGTGGAAAATCTACAAAACGGGGCCTAGTTTTTTTCTATCCCTTCACCAGCCGACAACTTCAGAACAAGCAAGTCTGCTTCAAATTCATATGTGTCTCGATTAGAAAATTTTCCAAGGGGAGAATGTATGATGTCTGCCGTGTATGATAAGTGTGTCGTTCATACATCATGACTTAATAATACATTAGCCGATCTGTTTCAGCTGCAAGACAATCACTTTTTATAAAATATATCGGATCAAGGGTCTCTTGCTTGACGGTCTGCCAAATGTTATGATTTAAATAAAAGCTGACAGTAGTAGTACAGTATAATAATCTTTCTTAACATGCAAAATACATGTAAACTGGTCCCCCATTCCATGTAAAGCTTCGCCATAAGCTAACCCAACAGGGTACCAGTTTAGCTATATATGTTACAAGGTAAACATGTTATTATTAATTAAATAAAACTGATGGTAACTCGCAGTTCAGTTCTGCCAGTAGCTCACAGAACACCTTCAAATCTGGTGTCGTATATTTGTGAACACGTTACACGTTAGATTCGAATGGACAATAAAAGAGTTCTTCATCTCCGGAAGACAAATTTGGTCTAGAAAATATGCGCATGCGTATTATACTGGATTTTAATTTAGCATGCTGTGAAGGAAAAAAAATATTGACATTTCTTGTCAAAATAGTGTTCTAATGTCTTCCAATAGTGTAAGTCTAACGAACGATGAGTTCATTCTCTTTTAACCTGTCCAAAAAATTATAGGAGCTTATTGTTCTAACAATATCTTGACCGATTCCAAGTTGTTTACAAGGTCCTTTCCCCCTGGCTATCTGCATCATTGACATTATCCGTATCATCAATAAACAACAAAGCTCAACAGGCCTAATGATAATAAGAATGTTCTTTTGAATAAAAAGCTTTCTTGTTTGTACTTCCAAATGTAGTTACAGTAAGCTTACTAACGGCTATATCATGAGTTAGAATAATAGAATAAGCTTATAGCCTACTTATATACTAGTGTTAGTGTTATATAGATTTAGGCCTAGTTATATTTTTAATATTTTTTCACAAATATTAAATTTCAAATGAAATTTTTCAGTTAATTCCATTTTTCTTAAAGAGGCAGTTTGTATTTTAAATTAGTTTTGGTAACCTAGGTGCTCGAATTGAAGAAAACTATCAACCAAAATATAGAGAATTCAGAAATATGTGACTTTTTGTCGTGCCGTTTATATGAAAGTTTAAAGGTGCACCTTCACTATCCATTCGACCATTCATACCTTAGTTTCAGAAACGGGAATTTTTTTAGCTTACATATTGAGTAATAGTGTTTCCAGCTCATCGTCGAAATTCGAGCCTTCAAATCCATGTGTATCCATTATTATTCACCTTTGAAAGTTAAAAATTCAACTAAGAATTTCTTTTCCTATAGACTATTCCCAAAAATAGATGACTCGTCTTAACACACATGGATTTGAAGGCTTAAATTTTCGACAGTGAGCTGTGAACACTATTACTGATTAGCATAGCTAAAAATTTCCTGTTTCTAAGACTAAAGTGTGATTGGTCAAAAAAATGGTGCACCTGTCCATGGCTGTGGTTCACAGATTGTGGGGCTTCAAATGTACTTCAAACTGGAAAGTTCACTACCTTTTTCTGTCTTTTCCATAGACTTTTCTATTTAAGCTTATGGCGGAGTATCAAGAAAAGTTGAGTCATCATTTTATCTTTGAAACGCAGATAATTCTCGACACAAAGATTTGAAGGTTCTAATTTCAACAGTAAGCTGTGAACACTATTACTGATTAGCCAAGCTAAATATTCCTTTTTCTGAGACCAAAGTATGGTTAGTCAATCGGATGGATAACCTGTCCCTTTGATTTAAACATATTTGCTTTGATAATCTTCAAAATAAAAACATTTCTTTTCATTACTTGAGAAAATGATCTGCATTTGAAATGATACAAAAAATACCTCTGTAAAATCATGATTTATGATAATATAAATTTTAATTGCATAGTATTTTCTTTCATCAATCAAATTAACACTCTCGATATTAGTTTGAAAACCTTATATTTCATTTTAAATAAAAATGATTGACAAAGTGCAGTTCTGTAAATGCCCTGTTTGGACAGTAATTATTAATGCGCAGAATACTGACACTAGAGAGACTTGTATCCTTGAAGGAGAAAATATTTGATAAAACTGAATAATTTGAAATATCTTAACTGTTCACAGCAACATATACCTGATAATGCATTATATAATGTTTTCTATTCGCAGGCCTTGAAGGGATTGCAAAGAGATTTTCTAAAAAAAATGTATGTGTATAAGGACAATGATTGAAATGCATAATTCCAATTTTCAATCAGATGTCTGTGGTTCTTAACATTATATTAAAATCATGCGCTTTATGGTGTCACTATTGGAAAGATCCCTAAATATCAAAAGTTTAGAAAACCTCTTTACAATTCCTTAAAGTGATACGTCTTAGAATGAACATAAAATTTAAGTTCTCGAAATGGTCAATAGATGTATATATTCATCAGTTAGTTTACCTGGTGTCATAAAGTTACAACAGAATCTCTGGAAAATTGGAAAATTCATAAAACTTAGTAATTATTGAAAAATACTTAATCTTGATATTAAGGGTTTTTCAATAGTTAATTGCATATTTATTTAGTTTTTTGATTTATCGGATTATAGGAGGATCCTGTTATGTTTTTTATTACACCAGGTATATCTACTGGCTCTTATTCTTAAATTTTATGTTAATTCTAAGACATAGTATCACTTTAAAGATCTAAATATTTGCTATTATCCTGAGCTTTTTTTTCTTGAATTAGTTATGATGATATCCATCATTATTGTTTCACCTTATGTAATATGAACATTTTTGATAAGGTTATCTCCCTTGAACAATACTTCAATTAGTTAAATTGCCATCAATACACTAGTGTTGAAACAGTTAGTGAATTTTACTATCAAAAAAGAGGCTTGATAATTTTGACCACAATTCTTGCAACTCGTTAGTGTTTTGATACGTACCCTATCTTGCTTTATCAATCTCAATTATTCAATCAATAAAGATGATTATTTACTAAAGAAAACAGCTTAAAGACTCATTCAGTGACAAATTTTTGTCAAAATTGCTCTCTTTTTACTACTTACAAAATTGACGGTTAACCGATTATCTCAAACTCAAATCAGACTCGGTTATCCGTGATATACTAACCGAAATTGATTAACCGTTTCAACACTACAATACACCACAATCTACATTTAAGATTACTCCCTCTAACATAAATGACAAAAACAAGAATGATTTGTAATTGATTTTCTACCTAGTGTCAAGCTTTGACCTGACTAAATATCAGAAAATCTTAACTCAACAACACTGTCAAATCATCCAATTGACCCTGATCCAACTAAGACTACCTTCAGCTAGTCTTTGAGATCAGCATCTGCTGGAAGTGGACATCGACATATCATCTACCTCCATTCTTGCTATCATAATTTCTATTTTTCTTCATTTATTAATGGCAAAAAAACAGTTTGGTCTATCTGTATTGGATTACAGTAATGTCTTGCTTTTTTATGATTTAACTTAAGTTTTGGTGGTTTTGTCTGTGAGAGCCCAGTTGGAACTGTACACAAATGGATGCTTACAATTGGTGAATTGACCTCCCTCCGAGAAAAAAACATTGATGATCTGGCATCCTTCAAAGTATAAAAATAGTAAATAGTCCTCACATTAAAGGGGCCAATTTATTTTTTTTAATGGTCGAAATTTTTTTCCCTCAAATTTATGAAAAATCATTAATCTAAATATATAGAAATCTGTCCCTTAACACATCCAACCCAAAAAGAATTAAAAGACTTTTATGCACTATCCAATAATATCAAGCCACTATAATACCAAACACCATTGAAACTAGAACTGAAAAATATGTGGTGGGTCAACCTAGTGTGCAGAGCCGCTTTGCTGGGTAACCAAGATATGACGACAATTTTGGCTTCTAAACATATTAGTAGGGGCAATTCTGGACAGATTTTGACGAGATTTGGAGAAATAATTTATTTTCATCCATGGATGACCTTTTTTGAAAATAAAGAAATATTTTATATGAGTAATTGACCTTGTTCTTGAAAAGCTTTTTAATATTCAGCTCATAAACACTAAAAGCAACGATTTTTGTCGGATTTTGTCAAAACTTTGTTAAATTGTTCAGTATAACTTCAAAAAGTGCAAAAGAAGTGTATGACTGAAGGTTGAATATTTCATACTGCTGATTGTTACTGTTACCTATTTTTTGAATTTTGACAAATTAAACTCTTATCCATATAATGTCATTTCAGTCACAGAACATTCAAGTAACTATAGAATTTGGACATCATGCTACATTTAGGAAGAAACCATCAGCAGAAGGATACACTCATGACTGGACAGTATTTGTAAGAGGACCAGAAGGAAGTAAAATACAGCATTATGTGGAAAAAGTGGTATTTCAATTGCATGAATCATTTTCTAAACCAAAAAGAGGTAATTTTCATTTCTACAGGGTTCTTTGTGCAGCTTTATTTCTGTATCTTCATGGACTTACATTGTAGGAACTCGCACCTGTTTGTACACACTTGCTTCTTGAGCATGGTAAAAATTTGACTTAAACTTAAAGAGATTGTAAATCAAGTTAGTCCAGTAATATTACTACTACTGGACTAACTTTATTTTCCAAATCTTCCTCTCACTTAATTCCTCCCATTTAATCATAAATAATGATATTTAGAGATTTTTTTTTAAGACAACAGCGAAGCAAAATGTGAATAAGTCAGCAATTTTTAGTAAGACATGCTGCCATCTTTTAAGGGGAGATAACATATATTATTATGTTGTTGTTGTCTGGTTTTAGACTGGTTACAAAATCTCTTGTGATTTCCAGTTAACCTTTTTCTGAAATTGCAGTAATAGGAATGTCCCTAAAAAACCCTTTACAATCCTTTAAATGAACTTGAAACGATGGTTTGCCATATTTGGCCTTGAATATATATATACTAAGTACTAAGTAGTCTCAGAATTGTATGAAGATTGCATACTTCCTTCAAATAAGCCTTACTATTTATTTGTTTCGTTCACAAGCTTATCCCAATCCTGATGATTTGGGTATACGAAAGTTGTATGTCTTGTTGATAAGGTCTTGGATAAGGACTCTGGAAAATTTCAAACTAAGGACTTTCATAATATAGTCAATAATAAAATAGTTGCTAATATGTTTAAAATATAATAGACTGGCTTTAATAAAGGTTTATTTGACTTATTTTCAAGTTGTTTCATCTACTTTCTTTTCTGGTTCCTTTTTATGCACCCACATTATATGGACGTATATTGTCATCACCGATGTCCATCCGTCCGTCGACAAATGGCTTGTGAACGCGATAGAGACTACAGTTTTCATCTGATTCGAAGAAATTTGGTGTGATCATTTATATTGATGAGATCTTGGACAAGTTTGATATTCACGATTTTTCGATGAATGGCTTTTGAGTTATTGCCCTTGACTTAGCCAAAGCGCATCAAAATTGGCTTGTGAACGCGATACAGACTACAGTTTTCATCTGATTCGAATGAAATTTGGTGTGATCATTTATATTGATTAGATTTTGGACAGGTTCGATTTTTCGATAAACAGTTTTTGAGTTATTGCCCTTGACTTAGCCAAAACGCGTCAAAATTGGCTTTTGAACGAGATAGAGACTACAGTTTTCATCTGATATAAATGAAATTTGGTGTGCTCATTTATATTCATGAGATCTTGGACAAGTTCCAATTTGACGATCTTTCAAAGAAAGATTTCTGAGTTATTGCCCTTGTCTTATGAAAAACTCGTCAAAATTTGGTTGTGAATACAATAGAGACTACAGTTTTTATCCAATTTCAATGAAATTTGGTGTGAATATTTACAATGATGAGATCTTGGACAAGTTCGAATTTTGCCATCTTTTGATGAACGGTTTTTGAGTTATTGCCCTTGACACAATAGAGACTACAGTTTTCATCCAATTTCAATGAAATTTGGTGTGAATATTTATAATGAGATCTTGGACAAGTTCGAGTTTAGCTATTATTCGATGAATGGTTTTTGAGTAATTGCCCTTGATTTATGAAAAATGCTTCAAAATTTGTTTGTGAACACAATAGAGACTACAGTTTTCATCCGATTTAAATGAAATTTGGTATGATCATTAATAATGATGAGATCTTAGTCAAGATTAAATTTGACAATTTTTCGATCAACAGAATTTGAGTTATTGCCCATGACTTAGTAAAAAGGCATCAAAATTTCTTAGCGATAGAGGTGACAGTTTATGTCAGAATTTTATTAAATAATGTGTGTTTGTTTAAATCAACAATATCTTGCACAAATTAGATTTTTGGTATGATTTGACACAGATAGGTGACTGCCCTTGATATACTGAAAATGTATCAGGAAAGTGGGCGTATCTTGCTAGGCAACCACCCGTTAGTGATTCTCATAAGCCTTTCTTTCTATTCTATAACATACTAGCATCAAAAATAGGACTGGAAGTTTCGGACTTTTTTCTATGATTTTTTACCAGTTGAAAGAAAGGTAGTGAGTGATATGAATATTTGAAAGGTGTTAATTCTGACTGATTTGTTGTGAGTGTTAATAACATATGAATGTATTGAATAACACTGTTCATTAGATTGAACACTGTTGATTACTTTACAAAGGCATTTAAACTTTATTTATAACACTTAACAGTTCACTGCCATGGTAACACTTTCTTATGCTTTGAAATCTTATCATAAGCTTGGTTTTTAGCCTTGTCTGCTGTTTATTTCTCACTTGTTAAAAAGGATTTATAGTGGACAGAAGCTTTATAAGGATTAAATATATTTCCTAGGGATAAGCTTAGGGATTAAGTTTGTTCCTTATTTTTTGGATTGATTGTGTATTTTCTTTTAATACTATTATAGGTAGGTATATATTACATTCTTTGTATTAGATGCTGTGACCATTTCCTCCATTGAAGTTCATGAACAACAGTTCAGAAATTGAAATGAATGATACCATTATACCAAAATGTCAGGATATTGTAAGATTACTATTAGGATGGGGTATCAAATACCAAATTGAGATCAATTATCAACTCCATGCTATCAATTAATTATTGAAATAATTTAAATGAGAAAGTCTAAATAAGAAATAAAAAAACAGGCTAAAATTTTGTATTTAATGGGTTATTTTTGTGTCATAGTAAGTATGTTATTGCTGTGATGTTATATTATAGCTTATTGTGGATAAGTTATTTGCTGAAGGAAATTTAAGTGGAAGAGATTGTTCACAGACTTTGATATTTAATCGATTATGAAATTTGATAAGCGAAATTATGAATTTCAAGTTACTAATTGCTCAACCAGTGATTGTTGTTCCATAAAGCTGTGACTATATATCGTACTCGCAATTACTTAATGCCATTTAAAGACGTTATTATTGTTCTTATCCCTTTACATGTGAACATCCTGGACACCTTGTCTGTCAACAATAGTGACTAAAGTGTTGATTGGATTTTGACGTTACAATGAAAGTTTTCGATGAGATCTTGTATTAGTGTGATATTCAAGAACTCAATCATTTTTGTTTTTTTAAAGATATTGCTTTTGACTTGTTCAAAATTGATTTGTATATGCAATAGAGACTACAATTTGGTATATGACAAGTTAAAGTGGACATCTGATTCTTACTGTCAATTTTTGAAATATTTGCAAAATTCCAGAAGTTGAATTTTCAAGTTTACAAGCAAATAGTCTCTGACGCACAAACTATTCCTTTCTACAATAAGGATATATTCTGGGATTTTTCAGTGAATTTCTGTCTTTCAAGGGAGATAATAACAATTAAAGATGAGTTTCCTTATTGTTTAGTGTCAAATTAAGCAAACTATTTGATTAATTGGTGTTTTTAATGAATTATCATGTATTCTTAATCATATCATGTTCTTATTGCATATATTAAGAGTTTTAACCAATCATAAATAATGTACATGTATGTAGTGTCTGGATAAACAAAAAAAGACTTCTACTGATAATTCTCTTCTAAGTTAGCTAATTATGAATTAATTATGGATATGTGAGACAAACTTGTATTTTTCCAAGTCATTAGAACACCTTTGCTTTCTATTTATATAAGTATTAGCATTTTCATTTTCGTAAATGAAAATAAGGGAACCCATCTTTAAGAATATTCAATCTACAAGTCTCAAACAACTTGTTTAGAACCTAAACGAAAGAAAACCTCCAAGTTTTGTCAGTTTATTTGATATATTTTACTGTGGATATTTTATGTATCTATTTTCGGAGCAAAGAATAAAAATATTTTAGTGTTTCCCCTGTCACCAAACCTGGGTGGATTCACAACCAATCAGATTGAATAGCCACTGTAGACTTGATCAATTACAAAGATTTTAAGCAACTAGTCCAGGTCTTGTCAAAACCGGAAGAGATATCGAAAAATTTTGTTATCAAATTGCCTGTCTACTTTTAAGTTTTCAGATCAATCAAAATAAACAGTTAGGGACAAAAGTAAAAAAAATGTACATTTTCCAAATGCTGTTGTGTAATAGTTCAAAGAAACAGACAAAAGGAATGATCAAATAGGTTGAGATAAACAGCTACAAAATAAAATACAACTGAAAAAAACACCATTGTTTTCACAGCTCATTTTGGGTTTGTTAAAATGATACCAATTTAATACACCTGAAACCAGTTTTAACAGAAAATAGCCACAAATCATGACCAGAATTAGAAAAAAATAATGTTCATTTATAAAACAAAGCAAGTTCGAATAATTCATAAGTTTGTTATATACAAACAATACAGACTGGCTATTTTTCGGTCAATTTACAGTGTGTTTAGTAAAAATGGATTTATACTTCTGACGTTGTCAACTGCTGTAATACGCTAGCATGAGCTCGTGGTTGGTGGTTGCCAGCATTCATCAGCACATAGGTAAATACTATCCACTTCAGCGAGTACTCGTATAATGGCGCAAGTCGCGTAATATTTTCCAGAGTTCAACTATGTTGAACTTTTGCGACGTGAATTTGCATACAAATTACAACCAATCACAAGAAGCTGATAGATAACACAGACAATCGAATCTTGAAAATAGGTTGACGCATGCGAGCGTCTGTGCACTTGGGACAATGATACTTACATGCGGTAAGGTCTGTTGTCAGCTGACGCTGTCAGTCAGAGTAATGTTTGCTAGCGTATTACGGCGGTTGACGGTGTCAGAGGTATAAATCCACCTTTACACTGATACACTGTTACTGAAATATATTATAGTGCTTACAGAATATTACATGTAAGTTAAATGATGGCTCGGTGCTATCATGTCACACCTGCTAGCTACTTCACCATAATTTCATTATAATTTTTATATAACTAATTACATTTCAATCATTAAATCAAAATTTAACATATTTATCTGACAGAAAATATTCTATGTTACAGTCAAATCACATTCATTTGAATATATTAACCTTCATTTCAAGTCAAGATAATACCTTCAACCCGATTTATTCTCCCTGTCACTGATGCAGGCCGAAGGGGCTGACATGCAAAGGGTCTAGTCTTTTGGATGAGACAATAAGCACGTTAAAGATCCCTTGACAGTTAGAAAAAAGTAAGCCAATGTCAATGTCCTGACATAATCAATTTGCACCTTTCTAATTTTCAATCTAGACTTCTGTGGTTCCTGCAATTCCACTAAATCTATGTGTTTGATTACATCACTAATTGAGAAGAATATGGAATACACAAGCATATTTTGCAAAAAGTGAGTTAAAATTTAAGTGGAATTGCAGGAATCACAGATATCTCACTGATGAGCATCACTGACCCCAATACACGTACACATTTTTAGAAAACCTCTTTACAATCCCTTTAAAGAAAAAAGTTCGACAATAATATCCATGGTAGTGGATTATGAAACACATGTCAAATTGAAAATTATTTTGATTAAAGCTGACACAGCAAATTAAAAAAGGCCAGCTGTATTCTTGTTGCATGAAAATATACGAGTATTTATTATAATGTTCGATAGATAATTTTCAGCTATTTCAGCTTAAGAAATGATACTACCACAGATAGTATTACAGAGACATCACTAGTTAACATATCTAATTATCTTAACCTTTAACTTGCACCTTGTTTTATCATAAATCTTTACTTTGTGACCTAGGCCAGTGCTTTCATGAGACTATGTATTAGCATTAATCGTCCAATGATCATATAAATAAATGAAAATAAGGGAACCCATCTTTGAAGGCATGTGAAGAACTGTCAATAAATAGCAATTTGAGGATCAAAGGTCTGATACTGAATTATTTTGATTTGCTATGAAAGGTGAATAAAAGTATAATATTGATAGAATAAGTTATATTATAAATCAAGTTTTATTTTCCCCGTTGCTTTGTGCCAGTTTATTTTCATTTGCAGAGAATTTCCATGGCTACTTGTATTATTTAGCTAGATTTCAAGGGATTCTGGTTTTTTTCCCATAAATGTCACGTCATATTCTCAAACATGATGCTACAATGGTTGCTCGGTCACCAGGTAAAAAAAAAACTTGGAAAAAAGGTTTAATTATAATATTACTCATAACAAACTTAGTTCTACATTTCTATCTTTTTGTTATTTCAGTGGTTAAAGATCCACCATATCAAGTCTCAGAATCGGGTTATGCTGGTTTCAACTTACCAATTGTCATCTACTTCAGAAGCAAGGAAAAACCCAAGAAACTGTCTTTTGATTATGACCTTTTCTTACATGCTGATCAATGCACAAATCATGTTCACTATGAACAACTAACATTCACCAATCCAAACGAAGAGTTTCGACAAAAACTGCTAAAGGCTTGTGGAGTAAGTACCTTTGTTAATGTATGCACAGCGTGAAACTCTGAGTAACAACTTGTTAAAGGTTCTGTTTTATATAAAGGTAAGCTTATACAATAAAAAAATATTTTCACTGTTTAAATAGTGTTCAATACATCAATTATAGATTAATATAGAAATATTAGAACATAACCTAATAAACATGTTGTTACTCAGAGTTTCACACGATGTGATCTGCAGACAACTGACCTATTTCTATTTCTTACTGAAGTTTGATGAGTATAGGTTCTCATCTGCACTTCAAGCAGGTATAAGGTATATATAGGGAAGATACCCAGAAGTCCTACATGAGAAAGCATTAGTGTGATTATTAGATAACAAGACGCTTTTAAAAGAATACTTCCTCTTAGAATTGATATTAAATTGTAAATGAAGCTATCTAGAAACATTTTTTTTGCATTTACTTTTCTAACTCAAGGCCTTTTTTGTTACTATGTTGAGTTATGACGATATATTACAATAAAATTTGGGTTCTTGCTTGAATTTCAACTGACATCTCATGTGTGTTTGTTTCTGAGGAAAAGGACCTTTTGAGCTATCAAAAACATGTTGGAATACCATAGATTTCCTGTAGCAACTTATATTTTTTGACTGTTTAACGATCTGTTGTGCTATTGTGTATTTAGTTGTGCTGTTGTGTACTTAACTGTGCTGTTGTGCATTTAACTGTGCTGTTGTGCATTTAACTGTGCTGTTGTGCATTTAACTGTGCTGTTGTGCATTTAACTGTGCTGTTATGCATTTAACTGTGCTATTGGGTATTTAGCTGTGCTATTGGCTATTCAGTTGTGCTATTGAGTATATAGCTGTGTTATTTGGTATTTAGCTGTGCTATTGTGTATTTAGCTGTGCTGTTGTGTAATTAGCTGTGCTGTTGTGTATTTAGCTGTGCTGTTGGGTATTTAGCTGTGCTGTTGGGTATTTAGCCGTGATCAACTAAGTTTTGGCCAGTAAAACTGAAATGTATTTCTATATTATTGAGGAAAGATTGATCTTACATTTTAATAGATAGACTTGCTACAATTTGTGTTTGATAGTGATCATTGGTTAAATTAACATACATTCAACATTTAATCAGTTATGAAAAACAGTCTATTCAGTCAGGTGCTAAAAGCATCTGAATAATCAATACTAAAACAGGAAAAAGGAAAATCCTGTCAATGCACAATCACAAACATCCTGGCAAATGTCTAGCAATATATATATACAAACGTAAGAAGTAACAAGTGAAAACCCAGGCTAGTTTTACTTCATCTTGTCATGTAATCTTATGTAAATTTTAAAAATATTTTTGGCGTCAAAGCTGGATATTTTAGTTTGAGATATGTTAAAGGGCACATTTTTCTAGATTTTGGTGTATAGTTTTCACAAATTTGAGCAAAAAATTTTAACGACCTACAAAAAAAAGCACAATATCCCTTTTAATAACTAGAGTCCAAGTACTTTCAAGTGCACCTTTAAATTTATTATTTAATACTGTAAAGACATATATCCTAGAGAAAGGTATTTAAGTTTTCAATAATACTCATACAGTGCTCAGTAATATTGTAACCAGGCAGTAAAGGCTAAACTGTAATCCATGCATTATGAAATGCCTTGCAGGTTTGGTTTGATTTGTATAGAAGGGCTTGAAGCTAAAAATATAATAGCAGTAATGTAGGTTTGAATTACTGTGCAGTATAAATATGATCTTAAGAGGGGGCCTGTTCAATATTCATGACAGATATATGACTTTATTTATCATGAACTAGAGTTTCAACTAGGGTCACACAACTGGCCAACAGTTTTTGAGTGGGAAATATTTCATAACATAGAGGGAAAATAGTGTGGAGCTCTATCAACTGGTCAGTGAACCATAGGTTAATGAGGATAAAAAGTTAAGTGATGTCAGATGAGATACATCATAGCTCATAGCTATATAGGTAGATATTAGTTTATCTCCATATTGTGTATTTATCATTTTATTGAGGATATGTTTAGATTTAGATTGATCTCTTCCACTGCAATCTGTTACTAAACAGTTGACACTTATAGTGACATACATACATGTAGAGAACAACAGTGACCATATTGTAACTGATTGCTGTCTTCCTTGTTGGATTTGATTTGATTTGGATTTCCGCTGAATTGCAAGACTCAAAATGAATATTGTGTATTTTGTTCAGGCATAAATAGGTAACTGATAATAACACAGCGATACTGATCTAATATATCCAATTTTATCTGTGAATAGAAAATGGACAATTAAACAAAATTATATTATATATTATATAATAAGTGAAATTTTGCTGACATGAATTTGTGTGTTTAAAGGATTGGTTTAAACTTACTGTGTTTTTAGTTGTTACAAAGGGTGATAGATTGGTCTGGTAATTTTTTCAACCATATAAAGGAATTTTTCTTAAATATTGCTCATATAAGCTGATATATCATTGTGTGAATTCAAGTTATATTGCAACAATTTGCAAGGAAAATTGCTGAATCATGTGAAAATGTTACAGAAAGCAATTTCTAGTATATTTTGACTGCAACATATTGCATATGAAAAGTAGAGAACTTTCACCATATTGTGTTGAGTGGAAACAGATAAAGAATTGAGACATTGACATTTTCGCGTATTGAACGTCAATTGAACAAGGGCAAATGTTGATATAAAATATATGAGAAATGTAATAAATTCTCTCTATATTGAACTCTAACTAAGGATGTGAAACAATATAGATTTATATATTGAAATATTTACCACTGATGTTATCTCAATACCCTATTGTTTAAATAGATAAAAGAAGATAAACCCTAGTTAGTATAAAATATAAATGAATATATACAAAAGAGGATATTTTTCTAACTCACATGAACTGATTATCATTGTTTTCCTTATTCTAAATTTAATACAGTTCATCTAAAGTGGTATTATAGTTTAAATTTGACAATGATTTTGTATGCACATAATAGCATTAGGAAGGCAAGTATTGTGTTTTATTTATTTTCCTTTCTGTATAACTGTATAATATGCCGTGTTTCTGATCTGTAGTACACTTTACGTTGGTGGTGTTAAAGCCTACCATATGGATGATAGAAAAATTGCTGGATAAAATTTTGTGAGTAATTATATAAGTCTGGATAAACAAAAGAAGGCTTTTTGACCTTTCTTGATCGGTCATGCATTGGAATTCTGCTGGTAATTCTCTTCTGATTTAGCTAATTATGAATTAATTATGGATATGTGAGACAAACTGGTATTTTTCCAAGTCATTAGAACACCTCTACTTTCTATTCATATAAGTATTAGCATTTTCATTTTCATAAATAGAAATAAGTGGACCGATCTTTAAGAAGTAACAATTTTATTATAATCTTGCTCAATTTGTCTAGATATATATAAGTATTATTAACCTAGTTTCACCTTGAAGTTATCTGTTCTGAATGATTTTTTTTTAAATGTATAATTGGATGTGGTGTATACTCAAATGGTCAAAATACAAACATTATAAAAACAGTGAAGCCAAAGTCATAAAGATTCAGAGAAAATTCAGTCCAAATTTTTAAATGTGCTGTTATTTGATTTACATGAAAGATTTGTCTTTATGAGTATGGGACAGCTATAATTTGACAAGAGCTTTGGCTTAAAGTTTGTAATGTTTCAGTTGTACATATATGTAACAGGATGTTAAAGATTCTTAAGAGATAAGGTTGAAAAATTAGATGTTCCTTATCACTTGTACCAGGTATTGCTGTTGTCATAATGTGATATATTGATACTAAATTTCAAAATTTGCGTTTTTAGTTAACAAAAAGTAAGATTTTAGTCACCCTCTATGTTGCAAGTGTTACCTTGTTTTATGTAAAGTGCTGGTTTAGATTCAGATTGGTGTTTCAAATCATTAGTTTTGATCTCAATCGTTTAAAATTTTCTTGCCAGATCTTGACTTTATTTCAGTAGTTTTAGCTAGGGCTGGGCGATATACCGTTATCACGAAAAATACTGGTATGGGAATTTATATTGTTTATAATATTGCCAAATTAAAAAATACCAAAATATCGCCATATAGTGATATATGGTCATTACCAGTAAAAAACAAACTTAAAAGATATGAGAATCATTTCTTTATATGCTTATACAGCCAAGATGATCAAAGAAGATGAAAAATTAAATAAGTTCATAATTTTTCACTTTCAGATGAATATAAAGTATAATATCAGGAGAAATTTTGTCAAAAAACAAACAATTTGAACAGTGATTTGAACAGTAACTGAATAGTCATTAAAGGAGAATTTTGTAATGTATGCTAATCAATTCATACCTGATTATGTTTCGAATATTTTGTTCTGAATAACCATAAAAAAAAAATAGTCTAATTCCAATAATCAATACAGTATGAAAAATACATTAATAAGTTAGCTTTTCCCTCACCTTATAGTTGTAAGTGTATTTGAAAAATTAATGTCTAAACATAACAGTATTTGGTAACAGATTTTAATAATTATAATAATAAACTCTTTGTCAGAATAGGCCCAATTTCTGGTTGATATAAATCAAAATAAAGTTAATATGATGCAATGAAATACAAACTTATTTCATAACGTGTTATAAAACCATGAAAATTCATTTGAAATAAAGATATTTATTTTCGTATTTTTTTCTATTTTTTCCAGCAACCAATGGGAACGCCATCTTCTTTAATGGATCCTTCATCAGTAGGCTCAGTTAGTAAAGGTGAAAGTAATGGTAAAAAGGTCAAATCATCCTCATCCAGTAGTAAGGATATTTCTTCATCAAAAGTAAGTGCTTTCTTCCTAACAATACAGCACTTAAGAAGACTTGTTAATAAGAACATTAGATGGTACAAATTAAAATGGATTTTTAATCAATACTTACTTTTAACGAGCATTCAAAAATCAGCGAGTTATAACATTCACTACTCTATTACTTGATATCAATTAAAGGGGAACTATCTCCCTTCATTAGAACAAGTTTTCTTTCGTCAGCTGATCAACCT